CTTACTACTAGTAACAAGAAGCTAGTAGTTAATTTAGTTGATTTAGTTTAGTCGTATTAGCTATGCAACGCTAAACCAATCGTTCTCCCACGAAGCGACACCTCGGCCGCTCCGACCAAACCGCCGGTGCTCGGCACCGATTCCCGCGGTCCCGCCCGAGCTCGCCGACGGCCTGGGTGACCTGGGAGCAACAAGGGTGGCCATTCACAGGGGTGGCCAGCCAGTCCATGTCTAAACAAGGTCCAGGATGGGTCCAGGTATCAAGTGATGCTCATGAAGCCCTTTCAAAAGTGATTTTACTGGCTTGGCGCAGGACAAAGTTGCAAGGTCACATTGGCTTCAAAAGGATTGGACATGTTGTCTGAAGGATAACCACTTGCTTTGCTGCATTCTATGTTGGCAAACTGGTGTCTGGCAGATAGTTAAATCATCATATCCCACTAGCGAAGAGTGTTGAAAACACTCTGACACAAACAAGGTGATTAGGACAAGGAGCCCCCATGAGGTTCACCACAAAACCAAACAACCCCCCAACTTCACGAACACAACATCTCAGCCCCCTGGTAGCAGGACATCCTTCCAAACCCTTTGGACACTGAACTGTTGGGAACTGAACTGCTTATCATGGAGTGACTATAATCATTTTAATTAGTAGGTAATGATTTCAATTATCGAGTATTATCGATATGAATCAAGTTAAATATAGCTAAATTAATTTGATTACAGGTTAGACTAGATGGAGTTAGAGAATGTTTGCAACCTGTCTTGGACTCTCCATCATCGTCACTCCATCCGATTCCATCCCCAACACACACAGCACCCAGTTCGTTCGAGAAATCTCCCGCACCTTGAGGACTTGGAGTCGGTGCGACTCCGAGGCCTAGTTTTCCCGGGTGGAAAAAGGTGAGAAGATGAGAAGATGAGGTTGTGGGGAGCAATTGATCACATGTTCCATTTTTTCTTGATCTGTTTTGTCAAGTCAATTGATCACACCATGCAGTGAAGTCCATTTTGGCATTTTGCTATTGTCGTCACCAAGTGGATCACACAATTGGATGATAAATGCGGTTCCAAACAATGCAGTCTCATTGCTATTCCTCCCAATTAAAGCGTCACTTCGCGTTGCAATATAGACAGCTGAACCAACTGCTTTCTGCGCTCCATGACGAGGTCTAGTTAGAGTCTAGTTGAAGTAGGTATAGACTTCTCTTTGAACTTCCAGATCTCGGAACCGATTTCCTTTTCAAGACAATGTTCCCTTCTCTTTTCATATCCACCTCTTGAGCTCCAGGCCGAAGTCAGCTCTTTGGCCACTTGGATCAATCGGGCCTCCTGCTCACCGAGCCGCGCGTCGACCTGAGACGCCCACGTGTTTTACGTGCTCCGGTCGACGTGTCACGGCTGAGTGACAACGGCTATATGTTGAAGGCCAGAATGGAATCAAGGTCGAACACATCCTACTGAAGGTTGATCTGAAAAGGTTGAATTGGACACATCCTTCCGGGAACTCTAGATCATGAATCTCACGATCTGGACGGTCATTCCATCAGTCCTCTCTTGTCGCACCAGCCAAACATATATATATATATATCAGTTTATCAATGTGTATCATGCACATCAACAATTAAACGATATAAAATGCCTAACATGGCATCGGTCCACGATGCAAGAAGGAACGTGGCTGCAGGGGTTGTCAAGTTGGCAAACTCCTTGTTCCGATGTCCCAAGGACTTTGCTTCAAGAACTCGTCCCACTTAACACTGAACAGTTGTCCAACAGTTTGTCCTACACCTCGAGTTTACAGAAACTCCGCCAAGGGGTCCCTATATGGCTGTCCCAGGAGCTTCCACACTTTGATCGGCTTGCGGATTAGATTTGGAGATCTATATATATATATAAATAAATTCAAAAAAAAACACTAAATCAATTTAAAATATATTAAATCCATGTCTTCCCCCAAACCACCCTGACTTTCAACTAGGTACTGATCAATGGTTTGTTTTCTTGATCAAAGGGGGGTCGAGCTTGTGGACAACCCTGCCGAACAATGATTGGGTCCCTGCCAGCGCTGAATCATTGATAAAGAATTCAGAATGACTCTCAAAACATGACCATTCTTGTACAAGGACGCTACTAGGGACTCCTGGCATCGCTACTAGGAGCAAGGACGCTACTAGGGGCTCCTAAGTGCTGAAGTAAAACCAAGAGAAGCGTCACCACGATGCTTCCATAATTATGGTCGATCCTGTTGGTATAGTTTGTAGCTATCTGAGAGCCAACTGTGTCATGAATTGGATGACCCCTTAAACCTGTCGGAAAGGGACAGTAGACTCAACCCAACCTGTTGAGGGGTGAACGCAAAAACATACACAAAAAAAAGAATATACTAATATAATAATCGAAATGCACATTGCACAACAGGTCACCCATTTGAAGAACTCCACTGCACCATCAGTTCTCCACCATTTCACAGCTCCCACACGCTCCCACCGTGCCTCTTCCGCTGAGTCGTCCTGTTGGGAATGGAACTGGGAATGGATTTGTGGATGTTCGGATACTCGAAACACCCATGCCTGTTGGTGGAAAAGAACCACCATGGAATTCCCTTCTGCGTGTTGAAAAAACAAAGCATTGAATCACGTAGATTCTGCAACATTTGAAGCCCTCATCTTCCAAAGCATCACGCACGACCCAACGATAGACCTCCAATCCTCTCCCGCCCTTTTCGCGGTTTCCAGCGAAACCCGCAGCCCGACCGGGGCCGGTCTTCGGCCCGTCGGGTGACGTCGTCGGCTCACTGGAGCACCACGGTGTAAGAACCGGTCTCAGGACCTGATGAGAAGACTCCCAAGCCCCGTGACACTCTTTCTTCTTCGTGTGCAGAATTTAGAAACAGCTGGTTTGTAACATCGTAACATTCAAAGTAGTCATTGGGTGTGCATAACTTTTTGAATGATCTCAAAGTAGTTGGATGGAACCGTCCCAGAAATCCAACCAATACTTTCATCTATACTCTGGCGAGCAGGTCTTCCCCGCGCCTCCACGCTCCGCCTCGACCGTGGCTTCCACGCCGCGCACCAAGAGCTTCCGGAGCTCTCGGTTCAGTGCGCGGATCTGCGATAGAGGGACGCTCTCCATCAGGATCTGAAGGGATGTTCATCCGGTAGTGAGGTACGGTACTTGGTTTTGCTGGTTGGAGAGAGTGAAGCAGGACACGGAATGGTGGGAGGAGCTAACAAAAGTGTTCAACACATCCAAACAATAAGCTATTTACAGCACCAACCTGATCTTTCGGAAACCCTTCGGGTGCCAGCCTCATCTCCTCTGAAATCCACGCTGCTGCGAAGCGATTTCAGTTCGCCTGCGAGGAGCGAAAATCCTGCGACCGATGTCCGACCGCCGTCATTTGGGTCCCCATGGGTCCCCCTTTCTCTCAAGTGGAGTCTCTCTGGTTTTGACCGCCAACAAAGGTTAAGTGACCTTATAGGACCCTACCAAGGTACCTATGGCCTACGGGATAGTCTATAGGGTTCTTCAACCTCTGTTGGTGGTTTTGGTCCATAACCGCCAAACTCGGCGCCCTTCAACGGGATCCACTGAGATCCCCGACCGAAACGACCCCGCCTTCGAGCGCCGTGCGCTGGGTGCGGAGGACCTCTCGCAGGGTGCTGACCGAGGCCTGGCAGAGCCGTCCAAGGCAAAAAGGAATCCCTTGAGGTTAAGCAAAATGATGATTTTCCTTCACAAGCACTCGAGGTTAAGGCAGTGGACAGCCAAATTCATGTCAGAAGAAAACTTGTTGCACCATGCAGGTGGGAGCTTGTTGGTGCTGAGGGCAGCTTTTGGAAAGACAACACCTTCCTTATCCTTCCTTAGAAGAAAAATCCCCACGAAATGAATGAATAACGATTCCATCCGATTCCACTGTTACAATGCGAGGCTACCGGTGTCGCCGAAGCCAACTATTCAATGTCTTGGAGCAATGAATGCTTCAGCTTGGTGGTTGGTCTTGATGCACACAAGGGAGATGTTGGCGTGGTTCTTTTGGAGAGAAGCTCTTCGTTCTGGGTGAGCAGTTCATTAAACCAAATTTGTCAAAGGGAGGTGGAGGAGGGTGGAGTCACCATAGTTAAAAGAAAGGGGAACCTTCCTGTGGAAACCCCGAAACCATCGATATACTGATATGGCCCTCTGGGTGGGAAGCTCTATGAAAAGCTATCCACTCTCGACTTGAAAACCCTTCGGCATTGGACATGGAGAGAAACATCTTTGACTAGCTTGTACGCCAACCACGCCCGGATGTTTCAGCAACTCTCAGCCGTGCTCAGCGGACGCTCATTCCTGAACACTGAAACCTATCATCGCATATCATCTTCTTTGAGGACCACTCAATTAATCCATCCATCACGCCATCAATCCCCTTACAAAAAAGAGCGCGCCTCCATGTCAATCCGCAACTCCTCCCAAAGCGCCACATCCAACTTCGTCTCCAACTTGGACTCCACGAGCCCTGTCGCTGCGAACCGTGCACGAGGTTTTGCGGTACCCGCCGCTG